TGTGGGAGGAAGCCGGAGTACCCGGAGAGAACCCACACATGCTCAGGGGGAACATGCAAACTCCATGAAGAAAGACCCCAGGCCAGGAATCGAACCAAGGCAGCAGTGCTACATCGTGGGGTATCTGGGGAGCAGTGTGGGGTTAAGGGTCTTTGCTCAGAGAAGCAGAGTAGCAGTCTGTTGGAGTGGGGCTCGAACTCAGAACCTCAACTTAAAAAGTAAATCTGCAGGAGCAGGAATACTTTTTGAGTCAAACTGTGCAGGTGTGCAATGCCTAATAATGTGCATGTATTATGTGCAATTTACCATTTGACACCCAGTGCAATAACTATATATATACATATAAATATCCATCCATATAAATACCAGTGTGAACACCCTGTGCAATAACCTGGTATAATGATCCTACTATAAAAAATAAATGTGGACGCACTGTATATACTGTATATATATCCCATGCACCTTTTTCTCCCTTTGGCACATTCTCCTCCTTTGACTATTTGAGTCGATGTAACAAGTAAATGTCTCCACTGTGAGGTCAAACAAGTCAACCAATCAACATTTCTAAAATTATTTCTAAGGCTTTCTACCTGCATGATACAGGACCCCATTAAATAAGATTGCTCAATAGAAATCTTCTCATGACTGTCTGAACTTTTTATGTAACCATCTCTGGACAAAACTTACCAAAATTTTACTTTTAGGTAAGTTCCTTTTTTTAATAATAAAAAAAAAACATAAATGATTCTGGCATCTACCTGCTAATTGCTAATCTTAACCCCTTTGGTTGGAGTATCAGTGAGAAATGTTTTAGGAGCCATCTCTCTGATGATGCTCTGGGAAAGGTTTGCATCACAAACCTTGCATCAAGAATCGGCGCTATATAAATAAACTGAATTGAATTATATATGGTTGACAAAGTTCTGTCGTAGCCAAGAATCATGACACTTCCATCTCCATGTATAATAGTGTGAAATTATATTTATTCTATGCAGTTTCCTCCTTCTACACCTACCCCTCTTGATTAGACAGACAAACCTGCATATGATGTTTTAAATTTTCTACACCTGTAGGCAGGAATGACTGATTTGCAGCTCTTTTGAAACTACGAGACCTGCAAGCAGCTAAAGTCTTCTTTCTGAAACCCTAAGATATCTCTCTGATCTAACCATGGTATTCTCTTCACAATAAAGTATAGGCTACTTGAAGTTTAAACAGGGGAAAGCCTCACAATGCTGAGAAGTGATGTTTTAACCCTTTACAGGGAAAGTTACCATTTTTGATCATTTGCATACCCCTTACAAATGGAGTCCCCCCCATCCCTCAGTGAGGTCTAGAAGCACAAGAGCTATATCAAAAAAGTTAAGTCAAGAAAAAAGGTAAAACACTAATTGAAAAGTTAAAAAGTAAAGTTAAAAAGTTAATAAACCTAGTTAACAATTATATTTAGGTTTATAAACTAAAAAAATGTAAGTGCCAGTATCAGAATTAATGCCTGTAAGGTTATGCTGTACCAAAATTAAACAACGTGTTTCATGAATTTCTTATAGAAGCACTGTTGTTATTTTTCTTAATATATTCGGGCAAGTTGGCGTTTCTTATTATTACATTCACATTCATTTTTGCCATCAAAATAGCCATATTTTTTGAATGTTACAAAGGTAATGTATAGGTATAAATGGTTAATCACATGCATCAGATCTAATCTGTCTAAATTTAGCCTTTATAAATTAGAATGAATGTAGATGTGTTTTCATTTTTTTATTCTATTTGACAGAAATGTACCTATTTTTTATCATAATACAAAAACGATTAATAATAATTGCATCATTATTATTAGTATTATTATGTATCTTGATATAAAGTCGTATTATTTATGGATGGCTTAATTAAATAAAACAGCAAAGAGTTGTACACAACGGTTTTAGCGACTTTTCATTTTTAAACTACGTTTCCCAGAAGGCGCAGTGACTATTAGTCATCGTTTTCTGTGTGAAATCTCGCGGTACTTGGCACTTGACCCTGCCCTATGTTCGGCGCACTCGCAGCTCCTTCGCTCAGTATATAAAGCAGGACAACGACGGGAGGAAGACGGCTGGGGAGTCGCAGCCCGGGGATTGTAAATAAGACCAAAAACTGTGTTTTATTTACAAAACTATACCGGCTCTTTTAAAAGTACCGCTCACAGTCGTTTTAAAGTCTTTTTTTGCTGTATTTTTTTGGCTCTATCTCTCGCCCATTTCCGTGTGGTTTGTACACTACGCGTATAATGGCGAGCTCGGCTAACTCGAACCAAGTGGTAAGGATCAATCTCCGAGGACTGTCAGAAGGGGGGAGAAATGGGGGTAAAGTTGGTTGAAAAAAGGCTGGTTGTGTTTCTTGCTGGCATATGAATGTGCTGTAACCAACTCTCCACTGTTTTAAGTCCATTAAAATGACAGAATCAACGTTCAGTCAAGCAGCCATTATTTTTTTCAGTTTTCGAAACTCGAGAGCTGTTTCACAGGAAACAAATTAGGGGAGATTTAAGGAAAACACGACAGAATTCAGTTTAAATGCTGTTTAAGAGAAAGGTGATTTATGTTAGGTTGGAACGTTATATATTAGTTTAGCTTGGTTTGTCTGGACATTTTTTATTTTTTTTTTTGTCTTGGTGAATTTTTGTCATATGTTTTTAAAAAAAACTCTGATGTACCCTAAGCACAGTCACCATCCACTCTGATTTAAATAAGGTTAAATTAGAGACATTAAAGCTTTATTTTAATGGAAATTATTCGACGCTTAGTCAGCTGCCTCATCTTTGTCCACCATTTAGGGCGCCGAAAGCCGTCCTAACCCCCATATTTTATCCATAAAACGCCAAAGAAGTCCTGCTCCCTAACGACAAAAGCCAAATTACTCTTAAGTATTTATCTCAGCCGAATATTTTAGATAAAAGACGGTATAGGTTTCTCCATATCGAGCTGAACAGAAGGCGGCTGTTGGCGCCGCTCCGTAAAATGGCCTCCGCTCCTTGTCTCTTCGGCTCTCTCTCGCTTCTGGCCCTCCTCCTCTCCGCTGCCTGGTTTTATACCGCCATATTGGCCGTCTAATATAGACTCCCCGGGATGGGACGGTGCTACACGATGCTACGTCACCGGCTCTACATATAAACACCACACCGAGCTTTAAATAGTGGAGGAAACCGACGGGGGAGGAGAGGAGCGAAGTGTCCGCTGCGGACATCGGGGCAGTGCGGGTCGGCCTGTCGGAGGCAGGCTGTCCCGCAGTGTGTTACATCTTTATGGAGCTCATTGTTAATTCTGATATATATTTAAAAAAAATAAATGCATTTAAACGCAAAAAAACACGTTTAGTTGCACATTAGTGACTGGTTCTCGCTAATTAAACATAACATAATTTTTTTTATTATTATTTTATCCTCCAGCCAATGCTAATGTAATTAAGCAAGTGCATTATATCAGTGTATTTCTCTTAATAGGAGCTCTTTTGTTTGCCTTTTAGCCTAAATTATATAAGACTGTAATCGAGGATGTGATCAATGAGGTGAGGGAGCTGTTCCTGGATGAGGGAGTGGATGAGCAGGTTCTCCTGGAGCTGAAGACGGTAACCTGAACTCTAAAAACCATGTTATACTCCCATTCTCCTCTCTATTTAGTCCTCTAATATCTGTGTTTAATGCTGCAGCTATGGGAGAACAAGCTTATGCAGTCCAAGGCAGTGGAGGGCTTCCACACGGACGAGCAGGCAGCCCTGCAGGCCGCTCAGCAGCAGCAGCAGACCCAGCATGTCTCACAGGTCCAGCAGGTGACACAGCCTGCACAGACCCAACAGGTCATTCTCCCGCCTCAGCAGCAGCAAGGTAGGTCCTCAGTGTGACATAGGGATGAAAAGCGCCGGCATCACAGTTTATCAACTTTTTCTTTGGTTGTTAAATGAGTTTTATTGAACGTCGCCTTAAGCCGCTGAGCTTTTCTCCACAGCACCCCAGCAGCAAGTCATTGTTCAGGATCCAAAGATCCTACAGCACATGAGTGCGACGGGGATGGTGAGTAGCACATTGGTCAATAATCATTTAGCTTCAGTGTTTATAGAGTACAAAAAAACCCAAATTGTTCGCTGTACCTTGCAAAATGTGTTTAACTGTTTCTTTTCCTCGCTTTATAACAAGAATAAACTTTGTATTAAATCTGTGGCGTGAAATTTGATGTTCAAAGCCCCGTTTCTCATGTCTTCATTTATTGTATCCTGGAAATTAAAAAAATAAAAACAATCATGATTATGAGAGCTATAAAATAAATCTACAGAAAGAATTCTGAGCTCCCCGCACAATGTGAGTTTCTCACATTCAACCCCTTTTATAAAGACTTTAATAACCTTGAAAATGTTTGGACTAAAACTATTTACCCAAATTAAACAGAAGTTTATATTGTCTAAAAGCTTTTCCCAGGATTTCCCTCTGCTTTAACTTCAATTATATTCATAAGATGTGCAAAACTTTTAGAGAGAGAGAACTTTGCATGTTTCTTTAATTTATCACACAATTAAATACGATTAAATGTTATTTTTGTTGGTACTTTAAACTTTAGCAGGTTTTCATGCTGTCTAAGGCTATACTTTCTGCCTCTTCTTCACCCTCCAAAATCTTTTTTTTTTCTCTCCTAAACAGTATATAGAAGCATTTACAATTTTCTGTCTCATGTCAGCCAGATAATCATGGTGAACTACTATATTATTTTTTTTAAACCTTTAAATCTTTCTCCTCCAGAGTGCAGCAGCTACTGCAGCTACCCTAGCATTACCCACAGGGGTCACCCCATACCAACAGCTCATCACCAGCCAAGGTAAAGTATCCATACCTGCACTAACATTCCACTTTTTCTCTTATTTAAATGGCTTAATTTTAGCTGAAAGCTGTTGTTGCCTCCTTTGTAAGGCGTTTCCTCTCCTGTTTTCCTGCTCAGGTCAGATCCTGCAGGTGGTGCGCGCTCCCAACGGGACTCAGTATATCATTCAGCAATCTCCCCAGCAGCCTATTGTTCTGCAGCAGCAGATGCAGCCTGGCGGTGTACAGGCACCCGTCATACAGCAGGTACACCCTGTACTTTAAAACCATGCTATTAGTGTTGGATTGATAATGGAATGAATCAAAACAGGTTGAATTAAACCAACATGTTTCTGGGGTGTTTTTTATTTTCAGGTCCTGGCTCCTCTACAGGGAGGTCTGTCCCAACAGACAGGCGTCATCATCCAGCCACAGCAGATCGTCTTAGCTTCAGGAAACAAAGTCCAGGGGAACACGCAGGTCAGAGCTCAATGCTTCAAAGGGACTTCCTTCAAATCAGATGGATGTTTTTTTTTTTAATAGATACCTGCTGTGCATTTTTCCGCCAGCAGGTGGTGCAGGCAGCAGCTATGGTGCAGCAGCCGGGTCAGGCAGCAATGGCAGCAGCAGGAGGAGCAGCAGCAGCTCAGGTCCAGCAGGTCCAGGGTGCAGCTGCTCCACAGGCCCCCCCACAGCCTCAGGCCCAGCAGCAGACCCAGGCTCAGCAGCCTCCCATGATGCTCCAGGTGGACGGAGCGGGAGACTCTTCCTCGGAGGACGACGAGGATGAGGAGGAGGAGTACGACGAAGACGAAGAGGAGGAGAAAGACAAGGATGGTGGAGAAGATGGGCAGGTTGAAGAGGTGAAAGAAGCAGCTTTGTTTTTTGAGTTTTAGACGTTATTTAGCAATTAGGAAAGAGAAGAGGGAGACCATCTATAAATGGCTGCCAGGATGTGGAAGAGGAGCATTGTCACATCATGCTGGTTGTTTTATCTATGGGAATCAGATGAAGTTCTGTGGAAACCTTCAGAGAGTTTTAATAGAATCTTTAATTTCATGTTTCTGCTCATTCAACACGTTTCTATTTAAACTAAGTCTGTTTAGTAGAAATCAGAAGTGAAAGATACACAGCATGCAACTAAACTGTTGGTTTTCCTGGTTAGGAGCCACTGAACAGTGAAGACGATGTCAGCGAGGATGAAGACCAGGAGCTGTTTGATACAGAAAATGTTGTGGTGTGCCAGTATGACAAGGTAAGAACAGAGAAAACTATGCGATTCTGTATGGTTGTGACTAAAGCCCTGGCTGATTCCTCTGTGTGCGTGAGCTGAAGAGGTTTAATCCCATAAAACGGCGTCCATCTGCGCTCTACGCCCCCGTCTCATTTCCTCTCTCCTTGTTTCCCTCCCCTCAGATCCACAGAAGTAAGACCAAATGGAAATTCCACCTGAAGGACGGGATCATGAATCTTAACGGCAGAGATTTTGTCTTTTCCAAAGCCACTGGAGACGCCGAGTGGTGAGGAGGGAAATGTGTGTGTGTGGGGGGGAGAAGCAGCAGGAGCAGGGACTCTGAACTCCTCCTGTCCAGCTAACAGACAGTCCAACATCCTTCCATACTCTGTGACTGGAGAGGCCTCCAGAACTCCTACTGACCCAAAGGATTGGGAGGTAGTAAAACCTGGGTGTCGGCCTGGCGGGGGGAAATAAAAACACTCAAACTAGGCCTTGTGGGAAGAGAAACCTACAGAGGAAGAGGGAGGATGGGAATGAAGCGTCGGCTCTCATTGGTTTTCCATCTTCTCTGCTTTTACTTCTCGACAAAATTCACTAAAATAAGCATTTCACATCAAACAGGTGTAGTGGACCAGGGTGAGGCGACCCGTCTAGCCACAGAAGGACCGAGGCTCTTGGATGACAGATAACCTTTCTAATGCACTGTAGTTTTGACCTGCGTCTCCATTGAAGGTCCAGACTTGGAATGTTCTGCCTTTTAGGATCCCGACCGCCTCCTGGCTTCTGTGTTTCTGTTCGTGGCTCATAGTTCGTCCTCATGTTCTGTCAGAAATGGTGCTCTAGATTGTTTTATGTAGTTGATCTGTTTTAGATTTAAAAAAAATATTAATGAAGGGTTAAGAAAAAGAAGGTACATTTAAATTTACCTGTTTAAAAAAAAAGAAAAAGCTTATTTTTAATATATAAATCTCCATAAATCGGACTTAGTTATTTTTCCTTCCTCGCTTCTCTGGAGCTTCATTCCATTTTCCAACCCAAATAGAAATCATTTTTACATTTGTGTAAACGGGATGTCTGCCTTTCTTTTTCCTCTTATTTTAATTCCCTGCAGCCGTCTAAGGATTTGCACTGTCAGTTTATCGACATGTTGTGAGGTCAGTCAGTTCCAATAATCAATAACGGCGTCTTCTGTTCTGTGTGTGTGAGACTGATGCTGGGAGCCGTGTGAATGTTTGCATCACTTTTCCCCTTAGTTATGTCCCCCATGTCATTATACCCCAGTGAAAGCAGCCAGGATGTCGTCTCTTTATCTATTTATTGCTAAAAGTTTGTGAAATGTTCTGTTTTTGTTCGGCACCAAACTGTGCTCTTATTCTCTCATAAGTGTTCCTTTAATTTTTATTTTTATTTTGCTTTTCTCAGTCGGTCGATTGAATGCTAAATAGCGCTGAAAATCATTTCATCCACTCTGTTCTCCTGTGCTTTCATTATACTATTTTAAATTGAAACATTTTCTATCACTGTAAGTTTAACTTTGGGATGGGGGGGTTGTGTGTACTTGGGTTTGTTTTTAGTGCCCCGCCGCAGCAGTTTGAAATAAAATGTTTCTTGACTCGTTCTCTGACCTTTATTTATTCAAGTCCTGTGTCTCAACTTGTCCTGCATTTTTCACTATTGCCTTGCTGTCTCATAAAAAGTGTCCTGCATTTGACTGAATCAAGTAAAAAAAAAAAGAATTCACATCTTTTCCTCAATGCAAGGAAAGCAGAGCTGCGCTGGCTGATGCCGCCATGACAACCCGCACATGATGCTCTTAAAATGGGGAAATGCTTTCAGTTTGCAATGAGGGCGGGGTTTAATGCTAAGAAACTGCTTAAAAAGCTGCATCTGACCCTCATTAGTTAGGTTGCCAACTCTGAAAATTAAATAAGGGATGCATCTTAGTCATCTTATTTCTTCCTTTTATTCTCTGTGCGATTTGATTTTTGGAAACATGTAAATCAAACCTGAATCAGCTAATTTTGTTAATACTGGACAGTTTATTTATTGGATAGTTTGCAAACCTACTCGTAAACATCCAAGTTGTTCATTTTTAATGAGATCCTGTCACCCCAGCTTCAGTAAAGATCAACTCGTCTGCAAAGCTTCCCCCTTTACATGATTTCCAATGATTCGCTACCAGCATTAATTCCTATCGCTGGTTAACAGTGTTGGACCTAAAGTTTGAGTTTTAAGCTTCCTTGTTGAAACCATCTGGTAAAACGTAGAAAATGTTCACCTTTTAATTGAGATCCATTATTTAAATGCAATATAAAGTATTGATGTAGCCATATATATAAACCTAAGACGAGTGTCAACAACTGGGAGAAGGTGTCTGGTCAATCCTGGTTCCAAGGATGAATGAACAATAAAGGTCCTGTATTCAATGGAAAAATGCATTTAAGCAATTTGGTGCTACTGCACAAAAAATGTAATTTTTTAAAAAGATTTTTACTCCTTTCCTGGCATTATCAGTTTTGGACCCCCGCCAAAAAATAAAATCTGCATCTGAGCTAGGGTTAGGGCATTAACATGCTTCCTGTGGGGATTTTAGCCTAACCCAATTGTCCTTAAAAACTGAAGGAGGCAAATAGTTGTGAAATATTTTAACTTCTCAGCAGCAAATTCTAAATCTAGCTTTTATGAATTTGGGATTAAATCTTCACCTTTTGGGGCTCATTTAAGTTCAATATTAGAGATTATTTTTTGCTAAATCAGGACTGAAAGCCTTTTTAAAGTGCTAGTTTTGCTGTTTTTATCAGTTCCTGTATTTGGTCCATCCATCCATTTTCTTTACACTCTTAATCCTTAGTCACAAGGGGTGCTGGAGTTTATCTCCAGCTGTCTACGGCCGAGAGGCGGGGTCCACCCTGGACAGGTCACCAGTCCATCGCAGGGCAACACTGAGACAAAGAGGACAAACAACCATTCATGCACACTCACACCGAAGGAGAATTTAGAGAAGCCAATTAACCTAACAGTCATGTTTTTGAACTGTGGGAGGAAGCCGGAGTACCCGGAAAGAACCCACGCATGCTCAGGGAGAACATGCAGAAAGACCCCGGGAATCAAACCCAGAACCTTCTTGCTGCAAGGCAGCATTGGTTCCCACTGTTCCACTGAGCAGCACCTGTATTTTGTCAATTATTTCAATTTTCAATTTTTTCTCTATTTTGGCTGTTCCTCTATTTTCAATCCAAAGTACTTTAATCTTATTGATGCTGCGTCTCTATTATTACAGGTTATTATCTGAGACTTCATTGAAGTTTGTTAGTGAGATTAATAAATGGGATTGTTCTCTAACGCTGAATTTAAAGTGCTTCAGATTTCTTTAGATGTCATTTTATTTGCTAATTCACCCAAACTATTCATACCTCCTACACTAATAGCAGTTCAAATATCCAACCTATCAAATTCTTTATTAATTTATTTCTCAAATGATCTGTAACAAAGCTTTTCTGTATTCTTGCAGATTAGCCCAGACTTTGATCTGTCATGTTTGAAGTTCATCATGGTTCTAAATCAGATCTAGTTATTGAGATCTTTAAGAAACCAAAATCTCCAACCATCCAGGCCTTTGTCAGCGCTTGCCTCCTCGGTAATCCAGCATCTGGCTGGCAGTCTGGGTGCTCACTCTGCCTGCTCTCACAGCTTCCATCTAAACCACCTCAATCCCTCTGACTTTCTTTAGGGTAATCAGGAGAAAAGGTGTGGTTGTGTTTGGGATTACGGCCGAGTCAGAAACTACTTGAGGATTTCCCCCCCTTGATTGTAAATGGATTTTCGAAGGCCTGTCTCCTCTAAAAAAATATCTCTCTCACTTCACATGGGTGTATTCCTCCTCAGACAGCGCCAGTGCAGGAGTAATGGATCCCGGGGTGCCTCTGATGAAGTGGCTCTTCTTGCTGCTCCTGGCCACTTCAGCCTGAGCTGCGGCCGAGTGGGACTCATAATGAGACCCTGGAGATGTTTATCTTTGCTGTTTTTCTGCTTACCAGTCAAATCACAGCTACTGCCAATCAGTGTTGCATTTACAAGACTGGGAGCAGGATTTGTTGGCTGTTACCGGGTGAATTTACCACGGTTTAAAATAAAAACAAAAATTGAAGTATCCGTTCCTGACATTTTATTCCTTCCCAAGATTCTGCTTCTGAATTATCCGAGTCTAGAGCTGGGAAACGGCGGCCTTACCATTCCCACGTTAGTCTGATTGCAAAAAAATATTGGAATCCTTCAAACTAACATCTTGGTACTGTAAGTTAACTTTCTAGACATATTAGAGCTTTTGAAGCAGGTCTGTTGCAGGTGAGGCAGTCTGCTCATATTTTAATTTAACAAAACATCTCAACCAGTTAAGCTGCTTGTTGGACCTACAATGGTGGTCTGCAGAGTATGTCAAGGTCAATTAAAGGTTCTCTAGCTGCAAATAAAGCTCCTACCATGAGTATTTTACTACTATACTGCTTAAAATATGACAATCCATCACAGGTGAATATAAATCTTATGTATCATTCTATTATTGTATACTGAGGCTGTTCAGAGTTATGTATCCAGTTATACATACAGGATGGCAGTTCCCTGGGGGACCCATACAACTCTTTTTACATGCATGATTATTGCAGCTATTACTTATTTGTGCACATTAGTTATGTTTTTGATAAAAACCCTTTTCGTTAAAATGCTCTGTTTGGTGACAGCATATTAAAGCACCAAACTCTGCTCTCCAGAGCAAGTAGATTGGTAACCCCGCCTCCTGCTGTCCTCTGTCTTGTCTGCTGTCATGATTCATGCAGCTATTATTTCAGACAAATGAAAAATGCAGAACAGATAAGCAGATCATGGCTTGTCTACAGTGAAGGAAGGACTGTGTTATTTAGGCCGTCGCCTTTTTGGAAACACAGGAAGGAGCAATTGGTTAAGTGAGATTAGTGCTTGGAAAAAATCTTTCATTTCTTTTGAGAAAGCATGAAAAGTCAACTGAGTACAAAACACTGAGAGGAAAACAAGAAAAGGGACAAGAAGAGAGGGACAAAATATAGAACAAATAATGTTTGTCTATTCTATTAAAATATATCTGTATAATGGGTCTGTTTTATGTGTTGTCTTCTTAATTCAGAGGGCCCCAAATGTCCTAAATCCGCCCCTGCCAGGATGATTATGGAAACGTTAGTGGAAGGATAAAGTGTGAAAGAAAATAATCCTGCCAATTAGTATATAGATAAAATGTGTGTGTCAGTGTTAGGCTTCAGTTAAACCTACCAGACAATCTGGAATGTGAAAGTTCTGTTATTTGTTTTGGTTGGGGCTCTTTGTTCAAATTAGAATAGCCCACAAGGAAGCCATCTCCACTGAGAAGGTGTCCTTGTGGGAGAAGGTGTGTAGCAACCTTCACACAAATGAAGGGCCAGACTCTAAATCAGAGACAACATGGTTGCCCAGTAGAAAAATAAAAAAATTCCTTGATTTGGAAATCAAGGTTCCAAAATCAGCCTGCTCAGTAGTGCAGTGGGTAGCACTGCTGCCTTGCAGAAAGAAGGTTCCGGGTTGGATTCCAGGCCCAGGATCTTTCTGCATGGAGTTTGCATGTTCTCCCTGAGCATGCATGGGTTCTCTCCGGGTACTCCGGCTTCCTGGCACAGTCCAAAAACATGACTGTAGGTTAACTGGCTTCTCTAAATTCCTCCTTAGGTGTGTGTGTGTGTGAATGGTTGTTTGTCCTGTTTGTCTCTGTGTTGCCCTGCGATGGACTGGCGACCTGTCCAGGGTGGACCCCGCCTCTCGCCAGTAGACAGCTGGAGATCGCTTTATCCCCACTCAGGATAAAGCGTGTCAGATAATGGATAGATGGTTACAAAATCTGGAGGACTAGAGAGGCTGAGGATCCACTTTGCTTTAGATCCAATGTAAGTGAAGATTCAGGGGGCTGTTTCATCAGCCCACAGTCAACTCACCCATTTAATGGGGGGATTTAAGAGTTATTCATGCTTCTTTGTTTCGCCAGGCTTCATGGAGATTTTTTTTCGACCCTAAAGACGGTCCAGTAGCCATGGTGGTTCTGTGTTGACAGACCAGTACAGGGGTCTATACTGAACCCCATGAAGAAGCTGAGAAACACCAGAACCAACAATGATTATGATCTGCTATCAAAGCAGCCTGAGCTCCTGCGACGCCTCAGTGGAACCACAGGCTGATCGCCTCCACGCCTCACTGATTCACAGAAAAGGAGTCCAACCAGGCACTATATTTAGTCATCTCATTCTGATTACAATCTGAATTCTTGTTTGTTCGTCTTTTTTGTGTTTTTTTTTTTTTTGTTTACTGTAAGCCAGAATCATTGACAGTACTTTAACAGAAATCTTTTTTTTTTAATTTAAATATATCTGTGGAAAAAAAATCAGAGAGAGAGCCTATAAAATTGATAGACCATATTCTAATATGCTGAAATGGATCAATAGAATAAAACTTTAGGATAATTTGTCTAAAGCTCCTACATGATAATTTGTTTTTGCTTTTTTTCTTCTTTGGAGCACGTCCAACTTTTCTTTTAAACAGTAAAATCAAATGAAGCTGTTGGGGAG